AGAACCAAGATGCATTATGTAAAGGTACAATTCCCAATGAGAAATGTAATTGTGTTGTATACCTACAATGTACCAATAAAAGAATTTAACAACAACAACAAAAAGAGTGAGAACAGAGAATGAGGCAGAATGGCTGGGGAAGGAGGAACGAATCTTGTCTCTCTCTCTACAGTCCCTTAGCCCTGCCACCACACCCTGTAATTCTCAGAGGACAAAAGCTGATATTAGCCACTATTTGTTCAAAGATTCAAAAGGTACTGGGGGACAGAGCACACAGACTTTTCTCGTTGCCCCCTGCTCCTCTTTCTGACTGGAACATATTGGGATTCCTAAGAAATGACCCTTGTTTCAAAGTCGTCTTTGGGGTGTGGAAAAAAGCCCCCCATTATTGTATATAATGCATTTCCTCATTCTGAGTGTGCACCGGACCTTCTCAAATGCTCGCAACCCACTCCACCATCCTTTCTCTTGTGAAGAAAATTACCCTAGGGATCCTGGAACCCTAGACCGAAGTCTCCCTTACCTTCTCCTGAAGCTCCTCCACATTCTTACTTAGGATTGTATTCTTTTCTTCCTGTGGGAAGGAGGAAGTAATGGGGAAAAAGATGACTTGCTCCCATACTTGCCCTCCTCACCAGCCTGCTGAAATCATATCTGGGGATAGGGGAATCACATGCTCATCCCCCACACCAAGAATCAGGCCTCAGCCCTGAGTCGAGTACTTCATTCTCAGACCACTCCCTAAACGGCTCTAATTTCTACAGGTGGACAGTCTCTTTCAGAGACCTCCTTACCAGCTTTGCTATCTCTACCTCCAGATTCTTCAGAGCGTCATTCTTCTCAAGTATGATCTGGTTCAACTCCTCCTCCTCTTTATCAGTTTCTGCTGGTAAGGTGAGATCTCTTTCCAGACTGAAAAGTATAGTCATTCAGCTGTGGCTTTGCCCTTAAGGAAGTTTCCAGGGCCCCCACTTAAACTACTGCCTAAGTTTCAGGAAGCTGAATGATTGCTTATTGTGATGACAAGAAAATCAACCTAATGTGGAAATGTAAGGCAAAATTCTGTTCCTGTTTCAGAATCCACATAACAGACTGAGATTTGCCATCAAGGAAATAGACCTTCCTCCCACCCTTTTTCTATTCCAAGGGACCTCCATGTAAAGAGAAGCCCTTCTTATACCAACTTCAAAGCCTGACCTTTGAACGGTTTTTTCTTTCTCTTGAATTTTTCTAAGAAGAGCCTCATTTGCCTCATCCAGTGTCTGCAAATCCTTTTCAAGGTCTGAGTTCAGGCGGTTGAGGTTCTGTTTTGTGGCTTCTAAATTTTCTATTTCCATTATTAACCTATAGGAAAAATCAGTATTACTAAAGCCAGGCCAGGAACACATAAGAGCCCTAAGATTTTTATTCCTTCAACCCATCTCCTGTTGTGAACAAGCCTAACCAGATCTACTTTATTTTTCATAATAAATTTATGTCTACAATGCTTTTGTATAAGGTAAATTCCTAGGGTCGAGTCACATTTTTAAAATTTTTATTTTTGTGGTGCTAGAGATTGAACCCAGGACCTCATGCACAATAAGCAAACATTCCACCACTCAGCTGCACTTCCAGCCCTCAGTGTAATTTAAAATGTTTCAAGTGAAACCCACAAATCTAATACGAAGCAAAAATATTTTCACATGAGTAATTATACTCTTACTTTCAAAAACTTTGTAGGGTGCATGTGGAATCTAAGGAATACCTATAAAATATTTAAGGTGAGAAAAGGATTTCTTCTAGCCCAGCCAGGCAGGAGCACATCCTGATTAGAAAGCAAGGGAAGAATGACTCTTTTCCACACAAAAGCCAATTTGCTGTGTGAGACATTGACGGTCCCTGAAAACCCCATTATGGTCTCTTGAAGTACAGAGAACTGAAACCAAAGTTATTTCTTCCTAGGAAACATTCCCAAGCTAAAGGACATGATGTCCTACACAACTGAGGTCTCTCTCCTTACTGGATTCTGGAGACTACCCTTAATACAGTAGCTCCTCTCCTAAACTCCCTTGTTGTCATTACTTACATGTCACCTGGTGGGTTGTGTTTAACTTCTTCCACTGTAAGCTTCCTAAAATACTAATACAGACATTTGTTACAGAAACAAAGGCTTTATCATCTAACAGTGATTTGTCTAGGAAGGAACAGGCGAAAGTTAAGACTTTATACTTAAATAAGATGGAGCCAAGAAGAAACAAACACCTTCCATATTCTCACTTGCCAGGATTAATTGAAATATTTAATACAAACTAAATTTCAGTAAAATAGGTATTAGTTTAATTTAAAATCTCATAAATGAATCCTACCAAAGGATAGAAACCATTTTTAAAATATTTTTACTCTTTGGCTACATTTTCCCTTCCTTGTGTGCATTTGTTCTGTTGAGTCAAGTGTTGAAGTACTAATGTATGTTTTTTGACAAACTTACTGAGCTTATTGCTAACTCAAACCTTCAGAAAAACGTAGAAAAAATGAAAAGTAAGAAGTATCAAAAAGTGCCTGCCTGATTTCTATTAGTATGATACCCTCCCACTTTCCTTTAAACTATGGATATAACAGGGAGTTCGTCCTGAAACAGCAGCATGAGGAGGAAACAAAATACTACTACTGAAAGGAAGCCACAACATTATGATCTCAAGGATGGCATCTCCTACCCATTGTACCAACTCTACATTGGAACCAAACCCGATCTAAAAAAAAAATAATACCACAACTCTTCTCTCCTTTCACATTCCATCTTCTCTCCTTTGTCTGAGCATTGAAACTTTCTCATTTTAATTCCCCTTTCACTTCCTTCTCCCACCTCCTCCTTCCATCACATTGCCTGTATTTCCCTTTCCTTTCTTACATCCAAGGACTCCAAATGGTACTCTCTGAGCTCATCTGGATTTTCTCACCTGAGATTTCTTCTGTTCCCAGCAGAGATTCCCAACTGAAAGTCAGAAATTTCAGAAAGGCGTTGCCTTGGTAACTGAGTGCCATGCAGTGTGACCTCTGATATATAACCGGGGGCGGGGGGGCAGTATGTCATAAAGGACAGGAATCATAAAGGATAGTGCATCATAATCCCTGTACCAGAGTGGGAGTGCACTTCAGAAATTTAGGACAGTTTAGATGTCTTCTGAAACAGCTATGAGAGCTACAGGCATTTCTTGGCAGAGTTTAAATCTCTTCTGAGGAGATTTCCCTTTCTTGTGTGCATTTATCTTGTTGAATAAATTGTTGATATATTCATGTATGTTTATTGACAAACTTACTGAGAATTTATTGATGTATTCATGTATGTTTATCTCTAACTCAAACCTTCAAGGAAACTTATAAAAAAATAATAAAAGAGTAAGCCCAGAAGTGGGCTTATAGTTCATTCCCCCAAATTTCTAGGCCTACCAGTAGTTGTGATCACTCTTGTCTCTCATCCATAGTCTCCATTTGGCAACATCAAAAATTTCTGCTTCCAGGTCCAAACCATGCATCTCTATGCCAGAAAGAATATGACAGAAGTCTTATTGTGGGAAAAATAAGTCCTCATTTTTACCACTTTGGATTATTTGACCCTTTATTTTCTATCAACTGGCACTGTCAAGTCACTGGGAAAAGGGGTCTTGTCTTGCCACAGTGGAAGGTTTATGTGTAGGTGAGAAGGAAGATGGAAATAAGAGTGTTAGATCTATTGTTACTGTTCACTCCTTCATAATTCCCCTTGCATTTTTTGAGGTCTTAAATTATTGGAACAGCTGATGGAATTTTATATACCAGTTTTTACATATAGATTTTACATATCCCTCTCCTAAGCATTCCTGGCTTCTTTTGTGTGTGTGTGTGCTAAGAAGATGAGGCAGGATACAGAATTAGAGAAAAATTCATGATGATGTGTGCTTGAACTTCAAACTGTGCATTTCTGACTCTTGCAGTTAACTCCTTCCATGAGCTAAGCCAAACCTTTTTCAGATAAACTGTAGTAATCTCAGGCCTCCGAAAAAGCCTCACAGAACACATAACTGTCTCTAAGAATCTTTCTCCCATGCAGAAATATCTGTCGGAGTCTTGTCCATTCTTGTCAACTCAGCTCAAATCCTGATGCTTCTGTAGCTTCCTAAAAACTATGCCCCAAGTCTAGTAGGATGAATCCCTCCAACCTCTGGGTGTTTTCTGTTGTTTTTAATCTTGTCTCCATCCTATATTCGTCCACAAGCTCCTTGAGAGTGTATTTTCATCCAATTTATTTTTATTTTCCTCCTCACTTGTGCCTGGGGAGCACTGTTCATGTAGAATTCAACATGGAAGTAAATTGAGTTTGATACAGAACGCACCTGAATTTTCTTCTATCCTGGAACTCTGTAGTTGTGTTACCTTTAGCAAGGTATTTAATCTTGGTGAGCTCATGTCCTGAGCTGCGAAATGAGTGTTACCACTACTTTGCAAAGTTTTGGTGGCGACTGAATCAAATCGTAAGTATAGGGATTGTGGGCTGGGGGCTGCGGCGGCCTCAGGGCAGTCTCCCCGGACCCAGCCGGGCCTGGACGGCAGGGTGTGGGGAAACAGTGGAGCAGGGAGCAAAAGCGCTAGGGACAGTGGTCGCGGCGGGCGCGGAGGCAGCGGCGGCGGCTCCCCCGGAGGCTGGGGATGTGGGAGAGGCGCGGACAGCAGCGGCGGAGGCGGCGCTGCGGACCCGGGGGAAACTGCTGGCTGACAGGACACCCCGGAGAGACGGGAGGGAGCGGCCGCTGCCGCCTCTCACCCCGGAGCAGAGCTGGGCTCAGAGGGCGGCCCTGTGCTCCTCCGGCCACAGGCCAGCCGGCGCTACGCGGAGGGCTGGAGGTGGCGGCGATGCACTAGGCCTCGCTCCGGGGCGGCTGCCCGGACCCGCACTGAGTGGTGATTTTTTTGTTGTTGTTGTTAAACTATTTATAAATCAGCTTTATTGAGGTATAATTCATATACAATATACTGCATATATTTAAAATATACAAGTTCATGACTTTCAGCAAATGTATACAGTTGTGAAACCATTGTTATCATCAAGATAATGAACATTCCCATTATCCACCAAAGTAGTCCATTCCTTCTCTCTACTCCTATCCTACAGAATCACTGCTCTACTTTGTCGCTTTAGATGTCTGTATTTTCTGGAATTTTACTTAAAAATGAATCGTATATATGTACTCTATTTATACAGCTTTTTCCTCTTAATAAAATTATTTTGTGAGGGCTGGAGATTTAGCTCAGCAAGTGCAAGGTCCTGAGTTTGATCCCTGGTACAAAAAAAAATTATTTTGTGAATTCATCCATGTTTTTGCACATATGAACAGTTCGATCATTTTTTATTGGTAAGCAGTACTTCATTATATGGATATACTTTAATTTCTTTATACATTCTCTTGTTGATCCAGATTTGAGTTGCTTCCAGAAAGTTTTGAAGTATCAACTGAACATCTTCAATCTGAAAATCCAAAATCTGAAATTTTTTCAGATTTGGCACTGATGTGGTGCCAAAAAAAGACAATTTTACACCTGACCTCACAAGACAGGTCATAATGGAAACTCAGGCACACTAAAAATACTGTATAAAATTACCTGTGCATAAGGTGTATATGACATATAAATGATTTTCATGTTTAGAAATTTGGATTTTTATCCTTAAAATATCCCACTATGTATATGTAAATATTTCAAAATCCAAGAATCCAAAGCACTTCAGAGCCTAAGCATTGTGGATAAAGGATACTAAACCTGTATTGCAAATAAAGCTGCTATGAACATTCATGTATAAATTTTTATATGGACATATACGCTCTTTACTCTGGCAAATATAAAGGAATAGAATGGCTGGGTCACATATCTTCCTTGGTGAAGTATCTGTTCAAATCTTTTGCTCATTTTTTAATTGGATTTTTTTTTTCTTTTTACTGCTAAGTTGTAAGAGTTCACTGTATAGTCTAGGTACATATCTTTGTCAAACATACAATGTGCTACCCACCCGCCCCCCAGTGCTTGGGCCAAAACCCAGGATCTTGCACGTGCTAAAGTGCTTTACTACTGAGTTACACCCTTGTCCCAATATAATATGCATTTTAAAAAAATGAAATGTGGGCTAGCCATGTTGTTTAGTGGTAGGGTGCACACTTAGCATGAGACCCCAAGTTTGGGCTCCAGCACCATGCACACAAAAAGTGAAATGCTACTGCTTTAGATAACTGTGCTTTATTACTATAACACATAGTCTATCTGCATTTAAAATTATCCTTGTAATAAGAAGCATTATCTCCATAATCCTCAGCCACAAAATTTTCTCATGCCTAGTAAGATGGTTAGTCAGCTGATACATGAAAAATATGGAAAGGGTGTAAAAGTAGCAAACATACAGGTTTTCTCAACATTTTTCTTCATCCTTCCTGATTTTAAGAGGCTCTTAGCAAACTCCTAGTAGTAGGAGATAAATGCTAGGATCATGTAGATAATGGTTAATCATCCTCCCCTCTTCTTTTAAGCAAGCTTTAAATGAGCAGAACATTCTTATGAATACAACCTCTTATACTTTGTAAGAACTAAATTTATTTCTCTTAAACCAAGATCCTGCTGTTTTCAGGACTATTAAGCATCAATCCCTAGAGTGTATTTCTATTCTCATTTCCTCCATTCTCTCCATTTCCTTTAGTTCCCCACATGTGTTTTCCTTCCATCCTTTCTTCCTTGCTGCCCAACAACCCACATCCATCTCTGTTCCATTTGGTGATTTCAAATATGTTTTGACCACCAACTTTTGCTGACCCTATAAATCAACTACCATGCTTTTTACTTCAAAGAGAACAAAACAAAAATAATAAAACTCTCTCTGGAGCTCATAGGAAGAACAAAATTTTTGATGAGTGGACAAGTAAAACAATTTTTCCAATAGTATCCAAGTAGTACTGTGCAGAATAAGACAAACACACTATTTTTTTTTAACTTTCTTATTTCAGACTATGTATACCCAACAATGCATGAATCACCAAGCAATCCTTTCCAGTGAATCTGGGGAAGTTCTGTGGCACAAAAACCATCCTCCCAAAGCTAATAGATATGAGGGGGAGAAAGAATATGGAATTAACTACTGATTTTAAACTATTTGCTTTAAATCTTTGTAAAGAGTAATTTCATATATTTACAAGCTTTCACAGGATATATTATACTCAGGGAATGCTAAGATGTCAGAGACAAATTTGAAACTAACTCTATCACTAGAATTGAGATAAACCACAGATGATCTAGCAATATCCAACCCAATATTGTCAGGATATACACAACCCTAAGGTTATAAGTATTTCATGGAAGTAAGTATGAGACAATTAATTATATCCCCACAATCAGTTGGGTTCTTATCAGACACACAGTGTTAAATTCAATTTGAAAAGATGCAATATTTAAAAAGATTCAACATTTTAAAAATAATATTAAGTGAAATAAATCAGACTCACAAGCCTAAATATAACATAATTTCTCTTATATAGGAAACACAACATGTAAATAAAGAGAAAAATAGATAACGGGAAAAAGGAAAATAGATCCTTTGCAAAAGGAAAGGAGACTAAGAGAGGGACAAGGGCAGGGGGGAGATGAGGGGAGGGGATGAAAAAAGAATTACGATGTTCGTGTGTATACATCAACTCCCCATGAGGAATGTCATCACTATGTACTATGAACACGTACCTATAAAAAATAAGAAATTAAAAAGAAAACCTCAGTATATATCTTGAAATTTTCAGTTCAACTAGTTTTAATACAAGAAAATATGACTGGCTTCAAATTTCCTTTAGCAATACAAAATCTGTGAGCTTTATCATATGTTGAAGAAAACAGACAATATGACCCAAAATTGATTTATTTATCAAAGTAAAATACTTTTAAACGTATGTAAAATTGAAAAATAACTGATATTTTTTCAATAAAGATATCTATATCAGATTATATCAATATCTAATGAGACGATAAAACATGTTTAATCACTTTTACTCCATTTTAAAGTCACCTTATTGAATGATACATCATAAAATCAATAGTTGTACACCTAGGAAATTTACCAATAGAGCTCTCTTCCACTGGTGTGTATATTTTAATCTGTCTCATGTGGGTGTCTCTTCCATTTTGGTGATTGGCTAGAACAGCAATCTGTATCATGAATGTGCGCGTTGGCTTCTTGTGATTATCAGTTAAGGGAACGTGAATCCAGCCACTTGGTTCCACCAATTCAAGTTGCCGAATTTCTTGAAGATTATGAAAATTATTTCCTACTCTGACTGAGATCTTGCTTGGTGTGTAGCTTTCATGAGACTTGTAGTCTGCATAAATACATAATGTCTTCACTATTGTTTTTCTTCTGAACTGAATATTCACTAAATGAGGCTGGGAGCCATCTGATTGCCAGTAAGTTTCTAGATTGTCATCTCGTAACTGATCCACACCAAATCCTGGTTTGCAAGATGAGAGTGACCAAACAGCTTGTGACCCAATTTCCCTTACTGTTCCAGTTCTTTCCAACTGCTTAGGATCAGCACCAGGAGGTGTCTTGTTTGGTGTGGTCATTTTGAAAATATTGATGGGGCCTCTCTCTACATTGAGGCAAATCACACTTACAGCTTCCAGACCTGCTTACCACAACTCAGGCTCTCAGGAGCTTCTCCTGAGTGGTGATTTTATGCAATGGCTTCAAGCCACAGTTCTTCACCAGTGCCTCAAAGAAGCATCAGTGATGTGTTCTTTAAAAAGGAGGTAGATTCAGCAAAACACATTCAACCTGTGCAGTCACTGCCAGATGTGTGTCCCAAGGAACCCACAGGTGATTCAAGTAGTTTATGTGTTGCCCCATCTCTAGTTACAGATCAACATAGATGGACTATATATCATTCCAAAGTAAATCTCCCAGCAGCATTAAATGATCCTAGATTACCACACAGAGAATCGGACTTCTTCACAAAAACATGGGGATTGGACTTTGTAGATACAGAAGTCATACCTTCATACTACCTCCCACAGATCAGCAAGGAACGTTTTACAGCATATCAACAGGAAATCTCTCAGAGAGAGAAGATTCATGAGAGATGCAAGAATATTTGTCCTCCTAAAGATACCTTTGACAGGACTCTTTTACACATTCATGATAAATCCAGGACAGATCTGGATCAAGTACCTAAGATTTTTATGAAACCAGATTTTGCCTTGGATGATTCCTTAACTTTTAATTCAGTTTTACCATGGTCTCATTTTAATACTGCTGGTGGAAAAGGTAATCGTGATGCAGCTTCATCAAAGTTGCTTCAAGAAAAGCTGAGCCATTATCTGGATATTGTGGAAGTAAATATTGCTCACCAGATTTCTCTACGTTCAGAAGCATTTTTTCATGCAATGACCTCTCCACATGAATTGCAGGACTACCTCAAGAAAACTTCCCAGGCTGCAAAAATGCTTCGAGATAAAATTGCACAGATTGATAAAGTAATGTGTGAAGGATCACTACAGATTTTAAGACTGGCACTTACCAGAAATAATTGTGTTAAAGTATACAATAAACTGAAGTTAATGGCCACTGTACACCAAACTCAGCCTAAAGTACAGGTGTTATTATCCACTTCTGAATTTGTTGGCGCATTGGACTTAATAGCAACAACACAAGAGGTTCTACAGCAGGAACTTCAGGGCATTCACAGTTTCTGGCACTTGGGATCACAGCTTTGTGAATTAGAAAAACTGATAAGTAAAATGATGATTGCAGAATTTTCTACTTATTCTCACAGTGACTTAAATAGACCACTGGAAGATGACTGTCAAGTTTTAGAAGAGGAAAGATTAGTGTCTCTTGTATTTGGACTTTTAAAACAAAGAAAACTTAATTTTTTAGAATTCTATGGTGAAGAAATGATTATTACAGCAAAGAATATCATTAAACAGTGTGTGATTAATAAAGTTTCACAAATAGAAGAAATAGACACAGATGTTGTTGTGAAGCTTGCAGATCAAATGAGAATGTTGAATTTTCTCCAGTGGTTTGATCTATTAAAGGATATTTTCTCTAAGTTTACAATTTTCCTACACAGAGTTAAGGCAGCATCGAACATCATTCACAGTGTTGTTCTCTCAGTTCTTGACAAAAACCAAAGGACTAGAGAACTGGAGGAGATTTCACAGCAGAAGAATGCTCCAAAAGATAATTCACTGGACACAGAAGTGGCTTATTTAATCCACGAAGGCATGTTTATAAGTGATGCATTCAATGAGGGTGAATTAGCACCTGTAGCAGTTGACACTACCTCTCAAAGAAATGCATCTCCAAATAGTGAGCCCTGCAGCAGTGATTCTGTGTCCAAACCAGAATGTACTACTGATTCTTCATCCAGCAAAGAGCAGACATCATCATCTGCAACTCCAGGAGGTGTGGATATTATGGTCAGTGAAGACATGAAATTAACTGATATAGAGCTAGGAAAGCTGGCAAATAATATCCAAATTTGTTAAAAATATTAAAATTGTTAAAAATAGAAAGATACTTGAAGCAACCCAAATATCCACAAGCAGTAGAATGGAGAAATAAATTATGATACATAGGAGAATAAACACTTCACAATTATACCCAAGAACATAAGTGGATCTCTTAATCATGTGGATCAAGAAGAGTCAGATCACAGAATGGATGTATTCTAATTCAAGATATACAGAGTACAAAATAGACAAACTTAAACAATGTGTTTTAGGGTATATGTGTAGGTGATAAACATGTAAAGAGAAGCAAAAAATAATTATCATAAAATTCAAAATGGTTAACATTCTGGAAGAGAGAGGGGATGAGATCAGAACAGAATAGAGAACACTTCTATGATCTTTTTTGGACCTTGATTATAGTAGAAACATTCATTCATGCCTTCTAGGTGGTGTTTCATTACTCTCTATTTTGAAAATAACTAAACAGAAAAATATTGACATATAAGTGTTTCTAGTTTCTTTTCCTCTTTCTATTCAGAAAACTGAATCTTGTGTGTGGCAATTCATCTCTTTACTCTTTCCCACTTTCAGCTTATCACTGCCAGGACAGTTCCTGTATCACAGATTCTAGAGAAGAATCAGAAATGAGCAGGAAAATAGTCCAAAGAACAGAAGGGGCAAAGAGACAAAATTGAGTTTCATAATGGAGAATTTAGAGAAATGGAGGGGAGAGAAAAAGTAATTCCAGGAAGGAGCCTAGAAGTGGTCTAATGGGTGAATCTGCCTGGAAGCCAAGTGATGAGCAAGACAGATATGGAGGAAAAATGGTGAGCACAAAGGTTGCTTTGGTTAGTAAGTACAAAGAACCCCTTTCATATTTAAGATCTGCTACAGGTCAGAATGGCTATGTGGTAGAGTAGGGGTTGGGAAGGGCAGGAAGATTGAATCACACCTCTTTAATTAAGCCTGATTCGCATGCTACAGAAACAGGAGGATGAGGATCTGGGACTCATAATGATTACCCCTTAGTGTGGAGCCCAACAGATCAGACTTTTCCCAGAGTGAAGAAGGAGCTGTCAGTGGAAAGGAAGGGAGCTATCCAACTCTAAAGCTGGGCAGACAAAGGAGGAAGTCTAAGGAAAACTTGGACAGGCAGTGGATAGTTAGACAAAGCCCAATCCAAAGAGATGGTGTGGAGCAGTCAGTGCCAAAGCAGAGACCAAGGGATCTTTCCCTGCAGCCTATACTGCCTGCAGGGATGGGAGGGAAGGAAGTCAGATGCAGGCAGGTAATCTCTGACTTTAGTTTCAACTGGAGGCACTAAATGTCGTTCAAGAGTTTGGGGAGAATATTTGATTAAACACTTTCCATTTGCCAGACCAAATCATGCACCACTGCTGATTGGTGGAGGCTCATTTATTTGGAAAATAGTTTTGACTTTTATGATTGCCATGCTGTCAATCATGCTTCTCTAAGTATTGAAATTCAAATATATTCAAATTAACTCATTTAAACATAATACATATTTGCACAACGCCAATTGTTTGTATAGTACTGTATTTGAATTTTGCTAGTTGTGCCAGTGGTGTCTTTTACAGCATTTTTCCCCTATATAGGATCACGTTGGATGTAGATAGCATGTGTTCTCCATCTTCTTTTCATATGAAAGTTATTCTGCCTTTTTCTTTCATGATACTGACATTTTTGAAAAATACGAGCCAGTTGTTCCAGAGAATATTCCTCACTGTACCTAATAAATAGCCTGTACATTATCTCTTCAATGGACAGAGAGTGAGACAGAGACAGAGAGAAAAATCTTAATGCTCAAGAGACCTATGAAATTATCCCATGTGGCTTAATTTTAGAAAAAACTGTATTCTGCAAAATTAATTCAAAATTAATTCAAAAATACCAATGCAGACATTAAGTTTTCAGAAGCAAGTTTGCATGTAAAAAAAGATTCAGTGAAGGCTGTAGCATATTCAGAAGGGTCCATGAAGGAAACGGGCCTTCCCTGGAGGAATCAGGAATCTGTACACTGGGTAGGCCTTAGAACACACAGTGTCTTGTACCTTATGCATAGGGTCCCTCTTGGTGACAGGTTACATTTTCCAAATTTTGAATTGGTTCAAACTTGTAACTATTTCCACAAATAAAATACAGTGATATCCCAGTTGTCCAACAGCTCCAAGCTTGAACTTTCCACTAACCGAACAGCAGTATTTGAAAAAGATCTGTTGTGTTTGTAACTTTGCTTGATAGTTGAACTGAAATTTGAACTTGAGAAAACCTTTACTGCTCAGAGTGAGTGAGTCACGTGTGGTGTCTCGCCCTGGACACAAAGGGATGACACTTTAGTCTAAACGCTGCTCTGGCCCAGACAAGCACTTTAGTTAGGGTGTTAAAATATTGATCATTGTGCTTTCTTGTGATTTATTTTCATAAAATATCATAACTATGGCGCCAAAAAAAGTTAGTGATACCAGCAGTAAAGCTAAGAAGCAAACTGACAACCATGACAGAGTTAAAGAAAAAATTCATTGCAAAATTTGTTAAAGTCCTGGAAAATAGAATGTACAAGTGTAATTTTTGAGCCTCAGAACCAATTATTTGGTTTTCCTTTATTTCTTATGGGAAAAATATGTTCTGTTCTCCAACTTTGCAGTGTTCAAACATGAATTTGTATCTAACTGAGTTTGACAACCAAGGTACAATATCACTGTAGAGTGCAAATAATACTGAACAGCCAATGAAACTAGGTTAGAAACAGACATCAGCTTCTGTCTAATTCTCTTGAAACTCATGCTTTGCGGACATCCAAGCAGCCCATGTTGAGGAATCAAAACACCAGCTGCAGGCCTGGCTGAGTTCTTTAGGACACCCAGCACTAACACTCCAGGCATGTGACAAATCTTGAAGGTAGGTCTTCCACCCCTCGTCAAACAGCCCCAGCTAATATTTTGTGGAGAAGAGAGTAACTGTTCACTAAGCCCTGCCCAAGTTGAGGATATATGAGAGGAAACAAGACAAAATAAATGATTACAATTTTTTTCAACCTCTATGTTTTTGGTGTGGTTTCTTGCTGCACAGTTGGAGACAACCAGAATGCAGTGTACCACACAAATGTCAAGAGAAGAGGCTGGGAATCAGGAGTAAGGTGTTCACAATCCTTTCAACTAAGAACCACAACAATAAGCATCCAGTTCATGAATTCTACAAATGAGGCAACCTGAACAGAAGTAGGAATGGGCTCTTTACATCTCTGGACCACATAAGCAAGACATAGAAATCACACCTGAAAAGCTCCAGCTTTAAAAGTCTGATTGTCATTCCAGGCTCAAAGCACTGGCTTGAGAAGCTGGGCTCATTAGCTTTTCCACCTCCCCCACTCTTTTCACTGCTTGACACTTAACATGATGTCTCACTCTGCCCTACTTCTCCAGTTTACAGTGACGGTTTTCCAGCCATTTTGCCTTACCCTGAGAGCTTAACTCCAGGTCACTGAAACTGGGGCTTGAAAATGTACAACTCTCAGTAGGAAACTCTACAGATTGAAACCTCCATAATGCCCAATATCAACCCAACTGCACAATCAACCCAAGTCCTGGGAATTTCTAGTAAAACAAGAGCTACCATATGACACAATTCCCAAGTGCAAGTTAAGGTTTGCTCCCATTGGTTGATAGTGGTCCCTTAAGAGTCATGGAAAGAGCACTCAGTCTTTCCTAAAATTTATTACCAACTCTTTTCCCTTTCTCAAGTGCATCTAGGGAATAGTTTTAAAAGTTGATTGCAATTGATAAGCTGTAATTAGGGACTTATGGTTTCCCTGGAGTTTACAGCCAATAGCTATAGAATTTTATTAGAGAATTTAATTAATGTACCTCCCTTTATATTTTCACTTACTAGGGGAAAAACCAGAACAGTGATGAAAGACTTTTCAAAAAAATGAAAAAAGTTAGGTAAACTATCATTTTTACAGCTTCATTATAAAAGGAGAATACTCTCTTAATGCAATCTCATTCAGCTAAATTAGTAAATATTCTCTGCACTTTAAAAAAATGCTATTCCTATTTAAAAATAAATTAAGACTCAAAAGAATATTCCTGCTTCCAATGAAATCACTTCATCATATATTTGGAAAAATATAATATTGATTATAAAAGGAAAATAGGACAAGGATTATTTTGGTTAAGAAACAACTTGAAAATTAATTGTATTAATGCTTGATTACTCTAAAAGGGGATTATACTTCAATCTAATGCTCTTTGGTCTGATCATAGACATTAAAGCTACTGTACTGAAATATATTCCCACCATCTATCAAAATGACTAAAATTTCCCAAATAATGATTCATTACTTAGGAATAAAACTCTTTTTTTTTTTTTTTGCATTTAAGAACAACCTGTTGAAACAGTATTACTCTGGCAAAGTATTGACAGTTATGATCAGTTGATCATATGTTCCTGGACTTTTTTTTTGTATATCCTTTTATCGGTACATTTTAGGTGTACAGTTTAATGACATTCATCACTGGAGATATGCACTTTTACATACTCTCTTGGTTCTTATTATACCCCCTTCCCCTGCCCTCCCTTCAACCCCTCCACCCCTCCCTATTTACAAAGACTTTGTTTCCATTTTTTCATTTTCTCATATTAATTCCATTCCCTTCT